TTTTTTTTTTAATGATTTTGTTTTTTATATATACATATACCTATACAAGTGCAATATTAAGGATGTATGAATAATCGTGGTATAAACATTTGTTAACGAAAATAGAGTATTCAACGAGTTTCACGAGCGTGTAAATACGATAATTAAATGAATGAAGATGCGATTGTGAACACGAGAAAAAGAAATGTACGTTTAGCGAGGATGCTTCTCCAGAAACGTTGAAAAGGGAAAACGTCGGGTTTTCAAGACGAACTTTCCCAGTTACCGAGAATGGAGAGAAGCGACAACAATGTGGGCGTCGGAAATTCGGGAAACCCCCCGAATTCACCTTCAACGACACACAGCGGTATTCTTCACAATACTTCCGGTGGAACCGATGCACAGGTGCGGGCTAGTAAAATGTGTATAAACAAATGATACTGTACACTTAAGGCGATATTGCATTTTGGAAATATAAACAAATTCAAATCAATAGAAAACTTTATTTATTGTAACTTTTTCAAAAGCTTTTTTATACTCACTACTACGATTGTTATACGAATTTATCGATAATAATAACAATCCTCTACACAAACTGATAGTAGAAATTCCGAAAAAGCAAAAGTTTTCAGTAATTCCGAATTTCTTGTGATAAAAATATTCCTGTCTTCGATGTTTGAAATGAATTATATTTAACAAATTGTTTTCTAGCGTTTTAACTTGTTTAAAGCGTTAACGGTGAAGTGAAGGAAATTGGATGGATTAACTTCGGCGTGGTCTTAAAAATTATAATTTGAAATATCGTTCCGGATTAGGTTCGAGTTAAAATACGTGTTGAGCAGAAGAATCCTCTTAACGAGAATCCCTAGAATTTTCATCCAATTACTTGTTCAGCTTGTTTTCTCGAATTCTTTCTCTCTATCCGCCGAGAAGTAGATTCTTCATATATCTGGAGTGCGAAAGAAATGATCGCTCGCTGTTGCAAGACAATGCAAATGAAACGTTGGTCTTGCGATGAGCCCACTTTATCCACGAGTTCGCAACATTTTTATTTGTGTAAATCATTTTCAGAACGGAGATAGGGGGTGGGAGGTTCATCACGTCACAGTTACCAGAGTCCCCGGTTACGGGTTTGGGATCGCAGTTTCCGGTGGCCGGGACAATCCCCATTTTACCAATGGCGATCCGGCAATAGCGATTTCCGATGTCTTGAAGGCTGGCCCGGCTGAAGGGAAATTACAGTAAGAAAATTTCTCAATATATCAATGATATATAGGATGAGTCATTCAACCGTACCACCTGAATCTACCTGTAAACCATTTATCATGATAAGAAAAATGTTACGAGTGAAAGTTGAAATATTTTTGGTATCAATCATAGCAACCGTAGTTCCGTCAACCCTAGTTTCAGTTTTTGATACCAAACAACTTTTGTCTTGAATGTTCCCTCATCCAACGAGTAAATTTAGATGGCACGATTAAATGACTTGCCATGTATAAACTTAAATAATTTGTAACAGTCGCGCTTCAAATTGAAATAACTTTGGAAACTGTAAACAGACATTTAATTATAGAAACACGACGTTTGAAAATATTTTTGGAAAAAATATTTTCAAGATTCCTTGATAAGAAATGTACATGTTAAAGGAATGTTTAATAAACAAAACTCGGAATTCACATTGTTTAAATTTTACGTGTGTAAGTTGATCTTTTAGATTTGGACTTTTAAATCTGATACTACGCGATGCAATGATATGTTTATACGCACATTAGTATTATGGATATTTTTAACAGTGATATCATTCGTGTTAGTAACACTGCAAATATTGGAAACTTTGGGAGCATGATAATTAACGTTAATTAATATGATAGTAATGTAATGCTATAGTAACGTTAATAGTAATGAATGTCATTCCTGGAAGTTTGCCGTTCTTTTTCTTTATGGAAAATAATTGCTTGAAATAAATTGAGACATGCGAACTTTCAGAGAATGCGGTTACGCAAGAATGAGCGCGGTGTGCGTTAAACGTTTGCGGTTCGAATAGCATTTTGTTAAATCGGTTGCCTTTCTTGGGTGACAATTTTCTAGGCGTATTCTGTTTTTTTTTAGGGTGAACGATCGGATAATATCCGCGAATGGAATATCATTGGAGGGCGCCGATTATGGAGCCGCAATCCGCGTCCTCAGGGATTCCGGGTCAACGGTTCTGTTGGTTGTTAAGCGTCGAGCTGCGTCGGTTCCTCCGGGCCCAGGAAACTCGACTCTTCAGAGTCACAGACTGACACTTACGAGAAATAACAAAAAAGATGGTAAAATATAGGACTTTCTATTACCATAGGCAAAAAGTATTTGACCGGATAAACTGGACGATTGGTACAATTGTTTGCGCAGTAGCTGTAGGAAATTCTGTAATTAGCAGCAGGAATCATTAGCAATAGAAACGTCGACTTTGCGTAAATAATTAATTGATTCACAATAGATTTTACATATATGCAATGTTTACTTTAATGTAATTAAAAAACGGTTTATCTTTGCCTTTGATATAAACGTAAGCAATAATTTTAATAATATAATTTTGGTTGTGTACTTTTTGTCAAGGCTGACGTTAAGAATATGATAGAAATCAGTTAATTTTAATCAGTATTGTTTTACTTGTAATGGTAATCGTTGAAACTGTATTCTGCCTGTTTCAGATTTTGGAATTGTTCTCGGTTGTCGGCTCTACGTGAAGGAAGTGACACGAGAGAACACGGGGGTGAAGCTAGGGGATGTTCTAACTCGAATCGGTAGCGTAGCTACGGACAATATGAGCCTTAAAGAAGCCAAAAAATTGATGGATCAATGCAAAGACAGATTATCAATCGTAGTAACGCGTGATAATTCTTGCTGTCATGCTCAACAGCAAGCAAAGAGTGATACTGGGGAGTATCTATCGGGAACAACAAGTTACAGTAGTCAGAACTTGTATGTTCCACCTCCAACAAGGCAGCCAATAGAAGATAAAAGCAACCTTGTGCCTAGAGGTCGGACTAGAGGACCTTTAATGGATGTTTCTCTTAGCCAACTGGATCTTCCTGCAACGCCAACCGTTGATCCTCCTAGACCACCGCCTCCTAGACCAGAAGGTATCGTACCATATAATTCCTTTTGCATATTAACACTAGAACCACTTAGCGTTTATTATAACAATAATAGCAGTAGATTTTTTTGGTCTTTTTCCTGTATTCGTTATAATATTCAAGTGAAACTATTTACTTTCAAAATCATTTAGGACACTTAACACTTTCAAGACATCGATAATTCTGAAATAAGGGAATTGAAACCTGCCCTTCTTAATAAATGCGGTAGTTCTAGTGTTACGATGCGAATTTTAATATTGCAAATAATTGGTATTGTGAAAGAGTTTGTTACAACTATGACTTTCGATATAATCAAACTGGAAGCGTTGAGTACACAGTTTATACTTATTTATTGTAGATTATTACGGTACAAGAAGGCAACTCTACGAAGAAGATTTGTCACGAAATAAGCTTCCAATGTGAGTAATACAGTTTATTATAGTATTTATGTTTGTATGAAAAGATATTTGCTGTGGATTAAAGCCGACCGTGTTTAGTAATGAGACTGAAAAAGCGTGTAACATTTTGGTAGGCCCGATCCCCGATTCATTACTTTTCAAAAAGAAGGATCGGTGGGTGTCCGTTTAAGTGGCGGAAACGAAACCGGTGTTTTCGTCACTGCTGTTCAAGCAGGGAGTCCAGCGTCTCTTCAGGGTTTGCAACCTGGAGATAAAATTCTAAAGGTAAACTTATTTACGAGACACAATAAAAATAATATTGAATAAAATATTTGTAATAAGTTTGATCGTTGATCATGTATATTTTTTATAAATAAATTTCAGATAAATGATATGGACATGAAAGGAGTAACCAGAGAAGAAGCTGTTCTTTTCTTGCTTAGTCTGCAAGAACAAATCGACTTAATTGTTCAGCATCGACGACAAGAATATGACCAAGTAGTAGCTTCAGGAAAAGGAGATTCCTTTCATATAAAGTAAACATTAGTTTTATTTCTACAATAGTATAATCATTTTGCCGTTCAGATTTGGAGCGTTTAATTACGAGCAGGAAGAGTTATTTACTCATTACGTATGGTACTTTAAGAAATTCTGAAACTTCATGTTCTTTTAATGACGGTATTCTTTGTTAAAACATTACAGAACTCACTTCCATTATGAACAGCCTCAAAAGAGTGAAATGAGTTTCCGCAGTGGAGATGTATTTCACGTAGTGGATACGCTACACAATGGGGTCGTTGGCTCTTGGCAAGTCTTCCGTATTGGCAGGAATAATCAGGAAGTACAAAAAGGAATTATCCCGAATAAAGCTCGGGCTGAAGAACTGGCAACCGCGCAGTTCAATGCGACGAAGAAGGAAATGAGTGCTAGTGAAAGCAGAGGTAGCTTCTTTAGGAGGAGGAGAAGCAGCCATAGACGTTCGAAATCTCTGGGAAGGGTAAATTTCTTGTAGATTTGTTGGAATGCGTACAAACAATACGACTAATTGTATTGTAATTATTATTTATGTTCGTTTAGGATCACTGGGACGATGTAGTATTCTCAGATAGTGTTAGTAAATTTCCCGCGTACGAAAGAGTTATTCTGAGGCATCCGGGTTTCGTTAGACCTGTCGTCCTTTTCGGGCCAGTCGCAGACTTAGCTAGAGAGAAACTATTAAAAGATTTTCCTGACAAATTTACGTCGCCACGTAAGTGAAAATTACCTTCTGAATTGTTTAGTTAATTTGGAAGTTTCCAAAGAACGTTGAATTTCTTACAGAAATGGAAAATCAATTGGAGGATAACGTTGGAAAAAATACTAAGTCGTCAGGTATCATCCGACTGAGTGCCATTAGAGAAGTTATGGATCGCGGAAAGCACGCTTTGCTGGATATTACTCCAAATGCAGTGGACCGACTGAACTACGCGCAATTTTATCCCATAGTTATTTTTCTCAAAGCAGAAACAAAACAGATTATTAAGGAAATGCGAGCCGGAATTCCCAAGTATGTTTTTTTCTTAAGTAGACACATTGTGTCGAATAGATAAACTCGCAATTGAAAGCAACAAAAATTCGCTGTAACATCATGTATTTCAATGTTTAATTTTACAATCGATACTAAGGTCATCTGTTAGCATTGATACGTGTCAGGTGACATCCATGTAATTGTTAACTGTTAACGACGCGATTCTATTAAGTGACGGTACCCCTTTGGTTCAGATTTCTGTAATACGTTGTATGTGTTTCACAGATCGGCACACAAAAGTAGTAAGAAGCTTTTGGAACAGTGTCAGAAGTTAGATAAAATTTGGGGCCACACCTTCAGCGCGGTGATCACGTTAACCACACCAGAAGCTTGGTACCGAAAATTAAGGGAATTGATCGACAGACAACAGCAAGGACTATTGTGGATGAGTCAAACCAAGGTAATAATGCTTTCGAAACCTTTCAAATATTCTTAATCCTATATGCATCAAAAATTAAGTTTTTGACTCGTTGGGTGTTTATAACATTGAGTGAAACATTGAATGAAATCTTCGTTCATGTATAAATACGGAGGGTGTGTGAACTGAAATGTCGTTTGAATGATGAAAATCCTATTCGGTCGAAAAATAATAGGATGTTACGTTGATGAAATTGTTTTGTAATAATTTATTGTAGCCATCGTACGGTCGACAAATGACGTGGGAGCTATGTCATACGTCCGGCGACCCTCGTGATTTTCCTCCCCCTCCCATACCCCCATTTTCGAAGGAGACGACATTTCATGACGTGAACGAAAATGACACTTATCACACGGACAAATTATTTTCATTACCTTCTTATCCGTCTCTAACTTCTGATGTTGTCCGTGAGCAATTTTTCGGCTACATTTGAATCCCGCTTTTTCCTATTTGGGGTGTCTTGATTATCAACTTTTTTAGTCAATGAATTTTTCTGTTACTTGTTAGTGAAACGAATGTTTTGCTTGTGCTTCAATGCCTCAGGTAGATTTTGCATATTATTATTATTATTATTTTCATAATTTTATTTTAGGTAAAACAAATAATGGCAGGTCCCATTTAGAAATATTATCTTTTGAAAATTTGTCACGTTTACTGTTAACATTATTATATTACTATTGATATTATTATTAAGATATTCGAGGCACCTTGCATTTTATTTTAAGTTCAATTTGCATGGCTGCATTAAATAACTTCATTATGTATCATTTTAAATCATAAGTTAGAATAGCTTTATTGTGTAAAGTGTTTAATATAATGTGAATATTGGAAAAGCAGTCCGAATCGGGAAGATACATTTTTGTTACTATGTATCTTTGGAAAGTGATAAGTTTGAAATAAATATTTAAGGCGTGTTATTGGGAAAATGTTGAATGGGAGAATCACGAGGTTTGAACAATTCGAATTTCATTCAAATATGCATATGTATAACAGAATTTTAACGATCTTTCATCTCAGTCATTTACAGAATTTAATATACATATTTATTTCTTACAAATATATAGATAGTCATATGAAAATAGTTATATTTATATTAAGGAAAACTTAAAAAGTTCTGAAATACATACAAATGTATTATTACGATATTAGGTTGTAAACTAAATCTTCCTGGTAAACAGAAAATACTCCGTACATTTTAAATGAAAAGAGAAGTGTTGTAAAATAGACACGAAAATTCAGTTTAAAACCTAATAAATAATACGCATGAATTCGATGGAGCATTTTAATCATATTCATTTTCTAGGAATTTTCTCAATCATTCATCCTGCATCTTCTTGAAAGACTAACCGAATCTTAAGTGTCATATTTTGTTTTGAGTTTTATATAAGTGCATGGGATCACCAAAGTTGACAGCAATTGTCAAATATTTTACTGTTTTATACTCAAAATAAAAGAAAAAAATTGCAAAATACAAAAACATATTTCTTGCTAAATATTCTTTTAATACAATTCTATTTATTCTAATCATTTTCCGAACTACTTAATCCAATATATGACTTTGCTTTATTTTATGGCGTATATTTGTTTTCAATTTTAACCCTTTCAGACGTTGCTCTTTTAACGAAATAGTTTAATCAAATCTAATACTTCACCTTGATATAATTTTTCAGAAATGTTCTGAGAATTATTGTCGTCAAATATTTGATGAGAAAGTGTTTTCAAAATAATATAAGTAAAATAAAAGGTCTGGAGGGGATAAAAAGCATAAGCCACTGTAACGTGTTGTCCTCTGTGTCCTACGATGATAGCCGGAAGAAGCACTCTCGGATGACTTCCTATTCCCGATGACTTCTCGCCTCTCCTATGCTTCCTCTCCGGAGAGTGACTTGGAACTTAGTCCAGCACCAGCTTTGCCAGGTGCACTGGGTGCACCGTCTAGATTGAAGAGTAGCTCTGATCCCAGTATCGCCACACAAGATGACATTGCTGCTCCACCGCCGTATTCGACCACTTATCAGGTAAACGCATCGCTTTCATACATTTACGGTATCTGGTAATGAATGAAATATTCTATCTTTTTCTGAATGAAATTTCTAATTTTAGCAATCATTCGAGCAACCAAAAAGAAGATCACAGGGAGGAATGGGAGATGGAAAATATGGATTCTCTTTGTCTGGACAAGTCAGCAATCAATCTGGTTCACCTGAATATTTTGGAGGTTCATTTGAACCAAGATCATCTCATCATAGCCCTCCTGATTTGCCACCACGGGTGGATCGTAATGCAAAACCTAGCAGTCAGTCGGGAAGAAACACAATCGGTAGATCGGCGCAAGAACGGTTACTCAATAAGACGGATTCGGTATTGGACGTAGCAAATTATATAAATGCCACGCCTCATAAGGCTAATGCTACATCATCGTTGGAAAGAGCTCAACCAAAAGCAGTGAGTTACTTGAAATTTATTCCTTTGAGTGTTGAATCCTCCCAACCAAAACGTTCCACGTGGATGGAATATTCGTACAAGGCGTAGTTAAGTTATAATTGTAATTCCTCAGTTTCGCCAAAGTGAATAATGATAAGAAACGTGTATATTAATACATTGTACATCGGCTAAATTTCAACTACTTGATATTATATTGATACATCATGGCACGCGTGAGATAAAAAAAAAATCAAAAAACGCATATATGTGTCCATAATCCAGAGCGATGATTTTCGCTGGACGCATATATGCGTACACAGCATTCAAAGGATCAAATGCAGTGTCACACATGTATAAGAGATTACTTGTTTGATTTTTACAATGTTTGCGTATAATATTTGTGCACAGGGAAGCTATGACAGTGTCTCTTCTTATGACTCTTATAATAACACAAATGGGAACGCAAGTTACGGAACACCAGGTTTGAATACATCCACCGGTCGATTAGGTCCTAACGTACCAGATGACTTGAAAACAAGTGGTGGGCCAGCTAGATCACACGATCCTTATAGATTTACTAGATCAACAGCACAACCAATTCCTAATCATGAATCACAAACAAGGACTGATTATGCTAAGTACAGGTATATTTTTGGTAACAAAACCCAAACTTTCTTTATCGATACTTCTTGATGCATACTTCCGAAAAATCTGCTGTTTTATAAGATAAAGAATTTGTCACATTTCTGATGAAAACATTTTCCAATATTCTAGTTAATAGCAGATCTAAAACTGTATACCTCGAAGATATGTTATATTTACTTTCTCAATTTCTCTTTTTCTGTCTTTCTTTTTCTCTTCCCAGTGTGATGGCGCGGAAACCTCGACAATTAAGAAGAGCTTATAGAATATACATTTCTAGTCAAGACACATTAGTCTGAATATATTATTTCAACAATTTTTTTTTTATTTCGTTTGAAAGCGATATTTAAATTGTATGTAGTCTTTTGCATATAAAACATTCAATTCTTTACATTTTTTTTCCTATTTGCGTATTAATTTCGAACATTTCATTGATTGTAAAAACTGTAAAATATAATATATGTATGTCATATATGTAGATATACGTGCATGTATGCTAATTGAAATTTTCTTGTATATTATTACTTTGAAAACATTTAAAAGAATCTGTTTCACAAATAGTAGTGCCATTAGTAACTTACAACTATCCAAATTATATGTCCCTATTATGTATTTGTATTAGATAATTTGATTATTTTATATTCTAGTGTATTTTTCTATAAGTTCTGTACTTTCCAATATCATCAATCCAATTTCCATTGTGTTCCTGTAAGCTAGAATATTCTGCTTTATATATTGTAGCCGCACAACTGATTACAAGTCGATAACTCTGCCCCAAAACAAACCCGGAGGATCATCATACAAACCGATACCACCTCCAAAGCCAAAAAACTACAGACCACCCCAAACAAACGTAACGCAACCAGAAAGTAATGGGAACGAAGGAAATAATACACCTCATCAACATTCAAAAAGTTATTCCATTGCTACTTCTCACGTAAGTGGTCTCTCATTACCTGTAAAATATTTATGTTTATTCTTTCCCATCGTAAATTTGGAAACAGAAAATTTCAAAGGGAACATTTTCTTTTCTTACAGGTAGAAGGTAATAACAACGTTCAGCGTAACAGTGGTCAGTACTATTACAATATTCCACCTCCAAATCGTCACGATTCAAATCTTGCGAATTCCCATCATAATTTGAGCCATTTGTCTACACCTGCGCACAATCATAGTTTGAGTCACACGCATCCGCATTGTAATCCACCAATGTCAACTCATAGTCACAGCAATAGCGCCAGTCAGTTGAGTCTCGGTCTCTCTCATAACAGAAACAATGTAAACCATAACGGATATGTTGTAAATAATGGTCATAACGCATCTGCGCAAAATTTTCCAACAACCACGGGACATAACAGAGAGCCTAGCGGTTTAGATCTCGCCGGAAGTAGAGAACAAAGAGGAAGTGCCTTCGAACTTTATCGTAAACCTATGCACCATTATAACGCGAGGTAAGTGGCATTTATTTACTTAAAATTGGTATTTCTTACAAGGATAAAAGATGCATACAAAACTATATAAATTAATGTGTTTTGATTATTACAGTTAACATGCATAACAATATCATAGTTTATTGTTAAACAAGAAAATAAAAGGAAGAATTAATCTTATCAACAGGAAATAAACGTTGAAAACCATAAGGATCTGAATAAATAAATCGTAATAAAGATTAAGGATGATAACGAATAGGAACTTCAGAAAAGAACTGCTGATTCGGGAAGAATCAGATAAGTAGAAAATTAAATCTGTTTCGTTTTTTTCACTCTGATTTTGTACATATGATTTAAATGAAAACAAAAACATATAACGAAGTTTTGCAATAACAGTTGTTGAATAAAATTTTTTACATGAAATTTTATTAATAATATAAATTACCGTCTTCCCTCTTTAAAACAAATAGTTTAGTTTAACAAAAAGGAAAAAAAACGAAGATACTAGTATTTTTAGTGGTAACACTAAAGAGATGTTAAGGTTTTATAGGTATATTTTTTTAAGAATAAGTCGTAATCTTCATGAGGCAGGTTTACTTTTGTACAACGTCAATATACATCGATAACATTACTTTCTCTATTAGGTTTTTTTAGAAGACTTGACTAAAATTGACAGTGAATACCCATTTAGGAAAACTTTTCTATAATTTTCCTATGATATCTTCGGATGGAAAAAGACAGAACAGTTTAACTCGAAATTGTTATGATTATTCTCAGAAATTGATTTTACAGAAATACCTCATGTAAAAAGTTAAAGGAGGAAGTAAAATATTTTACGATATTTTTGGTAACTTTTCGACAACGAAAAATTTAATGCAAGCATCAATAATAATTGGAAAAAATTGTTTTACTTTAATAAAACGTCCTCTATTAAAGTTACAATAAAGTGCTCCCTCCATTTAAAAATAAATCTCCCATTTATACATTATATTTATACATAATGTGGACACTTATTTTGGAATGAAGGGAATAATTGTTAGTTTTAATGGTGTAATTTGAAACTACCAAAAAATAAATTTACTTTATTAGAGGTTGCTTCTGATCATACACCAATTAAGAGTTAACCTGAACACTGTCAGTTTACAACAGCAATAATTCGTGACAATCAAAAATCAACTAGACTCACAAAAGCTAGTCTTACAAAATGTAAGCTCCTGTTATCACGATATATTATACCAGTGTTTCCAAAATTATTTCTAATATAATACATACTGCAGAAAGAATATATATATATATATACACAAAAAGTTAAATATAAAAAATGTCCTAAAAATGTTCAGTTTATCCTCAGTAATGTACATTGGGATATGTAATATTTTATATGTCGTTTATTCCACACATTTCATTGTTTTTCAACTATTAGACGAATTCAGAGAGGCATACACTTCATTCTAGTTAAACTTTCTGTACTGAAATGTTAATAATTAGATAAGGAACTTACACTTTTCTTAAATGATTAAAGATCTTTTAATAAGTAATGCGCTGAAACAAGTTAAATAATGGAAGGGGGAACACTGGTTACTGAAGAACTAATATTTATATAGAAGGCGATAGGGCGCAAAGAACAAAGTTCATGACTTACAATGGTAGTTCGACAACTAAAATAAGCGAACATGATCGTAAATCCTGGTCTTCGTCTTCAATGAATTATAATACTGAGTCAGAATCAACGTTACAGCGTTGATTTGACCCTACTACGTAAAGGAAAACCTTGATTATCCGAAGTGTTGCAATGGTGACAACAATAAAAAGTGAAATATTTTTATTTTACATAAATTATGATCAAAAATATTTATATATAAATACAAGTAAGGTGCCTAAGTTCGTGAAATTAAATATTTGAAGATTTAAATTATTTGCATAATTATAAATTTTATAAATCAGTCTGTTGATATTATATTAAAAAATCGGATCATTTCTAAATAAACGTTTCAATTCTGATAATCAAGGTTCCATGATCATTCAAAAAGAACAATTTACTTACTGGAGAACTAGTGAACTGTACTAACAAAGGAACCGGGCAATGCATTACTCCCATATTTTGATGAAACACTGTTGAGAGAATGAACATCAACATTTTAAACCTTGCAGAATCGGACATGTAAATATTCACTTGTTTATTAAGTGCTGAACAATAACAAAGATTCATTCGTAAATGCAATTCCATCGAAAGTAACGGAGCTGTACCCACTAATACAAACAAATGCGAAAATTATTATTAAATATTTCGCGACTAATTATTTACGCTCAATGGTAGTTTAACATCCAGATATTCACTACTCTGCAACAAAGTTTCATCGAAATCGGCAACAGCGCATCGTACAGTACCATTGGAAGCAAAAATACATCTATAATACGCCAGTTATTGTCAGTTTAATCCCAGAGTATTTAAGATAGCAGAAAGGATAGAGGGCGATGTTCACTTAAGGCCCAAAAGCCATTCTGCAACGCCGAGGTAGTATACAGTTTGTGCTATTCCGAAAAGAGGCGCTATCACAATCATTCTGCAGGCTCCGCCTTTAAAGAACGCCGTCGGTCCTTCATTGCGCATTGTTTTACTGTAAGATTATACGGATTTTCATAAAACCTTTATCATTTTCAACACTGCTGATAGTAATA